CAGCAAGGCGAGGAACTTATGGCCAAAGAACCTAATAAATTCACACAGGCTTAATTAACCAGCATGGCGAGGAAGTTATGGCCAAAGAACCTAATAAATTCACACAGGCTTAATTAACCAGCATGGCGAGGAAGTTATGGCCAAAGAACCTAATAAATTCACACAGGCTTAATTAACCAGCATGGCGAGGAACTTATGGCCAAATAACCTAATAAATTCACACAGGCTTAATTAACCAGCATGGCGAGGAACTTATGGCCAAAGAACCTAATAAATTCACACAGGCTTAATTAACCAACATGGCGAGGAACTTATGGCCAAAGAACCTAATAAATTCACATAAGCACGCCACTTAAATAAGCGTAAGAACTTTTAGGCAGAATAGTCATACTGATAAATAGCAAGATATATGATTAGGGTTCATCTTATCTTGTACCGTATACGTATATACCATTCAGTCACAGAACCATTATCAGATTTAGTCATACTGATAAATAGCAAGATATATGATTAGGGTTCATCTTATCTTGTACCGTATACGTATATACCATTCAGTCACAGAACCATTATCAGATTTAGTCATACTGATAAATAGCAAGATATATGATTAGGGTTCATCTTATCTTGTACCGTATACGTATATACCATTCAGTCACAGAACCATTATCAGATTTGTTTCATCCAGTTTCCGGAAAATGAAACAGAGCTCAAAACATTGTCTTACTGGAAGAAGGTGTATGAAATATATACACGTTTAACGTGTTTCTTGTGCGTATTTAAAACTCCAGTCACACTGTTGGCTAACTTATTATGTGACTGATTTTAGAGAAATTAAACACTTTATCTGCTTTAAACAATCAGATGTATTTCTCTTATAAATCATTATCACAAAAAAAACGCAGGTATTTAAAGAGATAGTGCTATCGCTGCGGGCCTGTAAAAGAAACAATAAAAAGGAAAGAGATGTAGGGATGGCTAATATCAATCCTTCAAAACAATGTAAACAATATAGTAGGGATAGCATTTGCATCATCCCTACAAAATAGTACAGGTTCATAGTATAGTAGAATGTTAACAGACATAAATAGGATAAATTAAACTCAACTGTGATTGAATGGTTACATATATTGCTATATGTTAATTCTTGTCTGTACTATTATGTACGGATGATGCAAATGCCATCCCTACTATCTTGTTTACATTGATTTTAAAGGATTGGTATTAGCCATCCCTACATTTACTTCACTTTTCTGTACTTGTTTCTTTAATGCAGTGTTTCAATAGACATAGG